TATATTCGATAGCGGTTCTTTACTTTACTTTATTAATACCCGATAATTACGACCTCTATAACTCTTAATTCCTTTAATATAGTAATTACTATAATCTCTTTTTTCTATTTAAATTACTTAAGTATTTTATAATTCTTTTTAAAGTATTTTATTTTACTATAATTAAAATATTTAAAGTTATTTCTACTTTAATTTTATAGTTTTTATTATTAAATAATATTAATTTTTATAGGCCCTACGTATATAGTCCCCGAAACGTAAATCCTATATAACCGTTTTTTCCTTTTATCGTTAAAGTAATAAAGTCTTTATACGTATATACCTTTATACTTTTTATAATATTAATATTATTAATCGTCGATACGGATTACTATTATAATATATTCGTTAATAATTTCTGGTTATTTTATTTAATATAACTTATCTTTAATTTCTTCCTTAAGCCCGTTATAGAATAATTATATTAACCTTTTATCGTTAATTATATTATAAAATATATTTATTTTAAATATTATAATATAATCGGTAATAAATCGAGTTTGCTTAAAGTTAGTTAATCGCTCCTAGGTATATTTACCTTCGTTATACTTTTTAAATACCTCTTTAATTTTTTTTTTAAAGTTTTTATATAATTTAAAATACTTTTTTATAATATCCTCCCTCTCGTCGTACTTATTATTAAAATAATTTTTTAAAATCGGTTCGAATTAAGTAAATATTTTATCCTTAAGCCGGAACGTAATATATATAATTTTAGATTCCTTATTAAAACGAAAAGGGTAGTACCGAAAGTAAGTTTTAAGTTAGATTAGGAACCTTCTTAGCTTTTTCTTTACGCCTTTATAACGATTAAGTACCTCGAGCTTAATATACTTTCCCTCCTTACGTAAAGTATTAATCTCCTAATAAAATATAATATTTTTTTACGTAAAAGTATTATAAAAAAGGTATAATTTATTTTTAAACTTTTAAATACGAGCGAGAAGCTAGTCGATAGTGGATTAAGTCGAGCCCCCCTAAGTACTAACGTTTCTAGCTATAGTATTAATTAAATATTTTTAATTTATCCGTAATAAAGTTAAAGTAAATATATAACGTATAACGAACCCCTATATAGAACCTCTAAAAGGGATATTAGTTAAAGGTAACTTTTGATAATTAGTTCGGTGTAACTAAATAGTGTATAATAAGATATTTTAATGTAAATACTAAATACCGTAAATATAAACTAAATTATATACTGCGGAACTATTTATTTATACTAGCCAGTTCCTCCGTATATATAGACCTTGGGACCGTGGACCGTTGATTTACAGACGGTCCTCGGTCCACCCCTGATTGGCCGATACTGGACCGTGGACCGTGAGCTCCGCCGCGGTCCCCGGTCCCCATCTGATTGGTCCGTTTGCCTACCTGGACCGTAAGCCCCGCTCGATTGCGCGGTCCAGTCCTGATTGGTCCGTCGTGGCCCCACTGTCTTCCAGAACCGTGACATATTATTAGTAAAATAATATTATTATATTTTATATACTTTTATACTCCTCCCACCTCCTTTAGCCACTCGATATTAATTGTTTTAGGCTGCTAAAATAAACGTACGGCCGCTAGATCGAGGGCTTTATATATATATATATTAATTATATAAGTAAACTCGAATTTCTTTATACTTTCCGCGAAGCTTTTTTCGCTTCTATAACGGAGAAAAATATATAGGGTAGCTTTATAAGTATTAGCCTTATATTATACGATTTAAAGAAGGTACTTTTTAAACTAAATATAA